AATATCACACAAGTGTCCATTTATCTAATTTCCCTTAAGTGTCAGCTACCTCCTGAAGTTCCCCACTTAAAATGAATGGTTGGTCTGTCTTGACTGAAAGGTTGAGAACTTCATTAGCTTCTTTTTTTGTAGACATTTTAGATTTTGTTTTTTAAGGGGTATTGGAGTTTTTTGTTTTGTTTTGTTCTGCCTCAAATTGTGACAGAATATTAAAAATTTTTAGTTCTTGCTTTTTGAAAGTTAGATATGTTTTTCAGGTGACAACTCCAGGAATAGTTTGTTGAAAACTATGCCAATGTATAATTTTTGCTCTATTACTAAATTTATGAGTTATCTTCAATGAATTGTTATTAATGAGTTGCACTTTTATCTTTTCCCTCTTTAGGTGGTAGACTTCCTCTTGTGGGTGTTTGCAGCTTCTGTGGTTGCCTGGGCTGACCATGGTGCACCACTGTTGCTTGGCCTTAGTGCCAACTGGTCACCATGGAAGCACCAAACGCTATTACCAGAACAGTCTGAAGATCACATTGGCAAATACCCCACTGACAAGCTCACTGTGGAAGAGACTCTAACTCTCTTACCAAGTAGCATTACCCTCTTGCTAGCTAAAGAGCCTTGGAAAGAACAGGCACAAAAGGTAAAATTGCATATAAGGGTTACAAAACACCTTAGAGTCAGTTCATGTCTTAAGTGAAATAGTTGTTTCCTTTGTACCTACTCCTTGTGATGCATGGACTTGCTTGAGACATAAGTTACCTCAGTTGTAATGTGTGTTCTCAAGTAAAMTGTGCAAGTTGCAAGGAAATAAAGAACAATCCAGTGTTGGAAGTCAAACTCATAGTGGCTACTGGGCAACTGGTAGCAAGTTAGTCTTAAACAATAAAACAAGAAAACAATAAAATCAGGTCCTCTGCAATTGGACATCGTCACAGTTGCAGTTTATAGCAATCAGAGTTCCTCCTTCCAGCTTGTAATGTGTCATTTTATTTTCAAGCATATTGCATTTGACTTGAAAAATAATTACTAATTACTTGAAAAAGAAGTGTGTAAAATTGTGCCTAATTTGACATGTCCATAGTAGTTACTGAGGTTTAATTGTAATGAGATGTTGCCTATCAACCTGAAAAGAATTTGTGGTCCTCTGATACAAACTCCCCTTTCATCTGGATTTTTCCTTTTATTTCAATTTTTAGATTATTGACTGGCTTACCAGTATGGTGGATAGTCCTCAGGAAGCATTATCAAAATCTTCCAAGGATCTACTAAAAGGTAGAGTATTTTATTTGGGTCTTTCTCTTTCCATATATATAGAGAAAAATCTAGTTTGTTAAAAGCAGTGTGATGAATCCATACTAGAAGCATATGTAAGGAGAGCTATGTGTTTCCCTGAGGGGAACCTTCATAAGAGGGATGTGGAGGTGCTGGGGAGGAAWAACCCCAGACACCAGGACAGGCTGGGGACTGACCTGCTGGAGAGCAGCCCCGCAGAGAGGGACCTGGGTGTCATGGTGGACGACAAGWTGACCATGAGGCAGCAGTGTGCCCTGGTGGCCAAGRAGGCCAACGGGATCCTGGGGTGCATTAAGAAAAGCGTCTCCAGCAGGTCGAGGGAGGGGATCATCCCCCTCTACTCAGCCCTGGTGAGGCCACATCTGGAGTACTGCGTCCAGTTCTGGGCTCCCCAGTACAAGAGGGATGTGGAGCTGCTGGAGAGAGTCCAGCGCAGGGCTACCAGGATGATCAGGGGCCTGGAACATCTACCCTGTGAGCAAAGGCTGAGGGAGCTGGGCCTGTTCAGCCTGGAGAAGAGGAGGCTGAGGGGGGACCTGATCAGTGTCTATAAACACCTCAAGGGAGGCAGTGAGGAGGAGGGGGCGGCCTCTTTTCAGTTGTGGCCAGCAACAGGACTAGAGGAAATGGCCACAAGCTGAGGCACCAAAAGTTCCACAGGAACTTAAGGAAAGATTTCTTGACAGTGAGGGTGCCAGAGCCCTGGCACAGGCTGCCCAGGGAGGCTGTGGARTCTCCTTCTCTGGAGATCTTCCCAACCCGCCTGGATGCCGCCCTGTGCCCCGTGCTCTGGGTGTCCCTGCTGGAGCAGGGGGTTGCACTAGATGGTTTCTAGAGGTCCCTTCCAAGCTTAAGGATTCTGTGAAATAAGACTCCTGTTTTCTTAATGTCTTAAGTTCTTTGATATCTAATCTGTTGATCCTCATGGTGTGCCCCTGAAAATCGAAGAAACCTTCAGGTTTACCTGATTCTATAAGCCCGTTTTGCTGATTGGTCTGTCATTTTTTTTTAAAGTAATCCTTAAAACCAAACGGAATGAATAACCGGTTTGGAGTCCCTCCAATGCTATAATAACAAATCCATGGCAATTTCTTTATTTTCAGCTCGGGATTTCATTGTCTCTTGTCCCTTCTCCACAATTCAAAGTCTAATGTTGTGTMCTGTCAGGAAAAACAGAGGGAGCTGTTGACAAGAAAGGTGAAATAAAGGTGAAGGCTAGCACATAATTTGAACTGCAGTAATACTCTTTCGCTTTAGCTTACACACCATTGTTCATATAGATTATGTGAGCTATATGTGAGTAAATTTAAAATACCAGAAATATTCCTGAATGAATGGAGCCTGTCTTTCTTCCAGTACCTTTAGGCATATCATTTGAATCTGATTTACTGCTCCTAAACATGGCTTCATGAAATCTGATTATAATCTTCTTCACATTACTAGGAGAACTAGCTTTTTTTGGAGGACCTGTAATCTTGAGCAACTGTGTGTGAACAGTTTCAAACTTCTGATRTTATGTCATCTTAATTTCTGGAGAACATAAGCTTAGAACAGCAGAAACAATGCTGAAGTTTATTGGGGAATCTCATCTGATTCTGCACACACAAACATACATAAATGTATAACATACATATATATATACACTCACTGTGCTGTGGTTAAGAATGAATCAAAGTTTCCTGTGAGCTTTTCTTAAATACTAGAACATCAGATTCCCTCCTGAATTCATGTGACTGATTTTTAACTCAATTTTGCTCCAAAACATGAACCCTTGAATCACTGAATAAATCAATGAATCAGTAAGTCAGTGAATTGCACAGAAGATTTAAAGATTCATACATTTCAGTCCTTCACACTGCTTCCATCTCCTTTCTTGGATGATTCCTTCTAGGGTTCAAGTTTTTGATTGGCCTATGTGCTCTTTCAAAGTGGTGGTCTAATTAGCAGATCATATGATATGGTTTGAATGAAAAACATGCCCACCCACCCCCCAAAGGAAAAAACAAATGAAAAGTCCAGCACAGCCTCCCATTTCAGAGGAATGTAAGAACTCGTGTACTTGGTGGACAGTGGAAGCAGCATCAGAAACTCATAGGCTAACCATGAAAAAATAATGAAAAGGTTCACTAAGAGGAGACTGAATCTGTACATTTTACAGCAAAATGATTAGTGGAATGCTCATGCAGATTTTGCAGTCTGGGCAGTATGCTAATGGAATTTGTGCTTCTTTTCACAGTTACACTTCTGGCCTTGAGGTCTCTCTCAGAGTTCAAGAAGAAAGCAGTTTGGACTAAAGCTTATGGGTGGTAGCTGCATATCATGTCTTAAACAGTGAAGAAAACTCTCCATACTTGAAAGCAGAATCCATATTTTTAGACATCAAGAAGACCAATTTCAAAGATTTTTGCCTCCCTAGAAAGCTTTTGGTTTCTTTTTTTTGTTTGTTTGTTTTGTTTTGGGTTTTTTTTTTTTTTTTTTCTAGAAAGCTTTTGGTTTCTTTTTTTTGTTTGTTTGTTTTGTTTTGGGTTTTTTTTTTTTTTTTTTTTTTTTC